AAATGACTTTTTGTCAACATCCCACAGCTTCGGGGTCCCTGCTGATGGGATGTTGATTCTGGCAACTGGAACCTGGATCCCTTGTAGTTTCCACTGCGGCCCCTCGCTGTGAGGTCCTGACAAACTGGTGGTGGCCGGCGCGGTGCCGTTTTGTGCGGGAGATAAGTCAAACGCCTCACCCTGCTTCTTTCTTATGTCGCTAGCTTGCTGCATGGCTGTGACTGCTTCTCCAAACAGCACCTTAACCCACAATGGGTTGAGTGGGGAGTCCATGACGGTCTGTTTGTCCTGATCTGGCAAGTTGGACAGATTCAGCCAGATTGATCTCTCTCCTGCCACTGCCAGGCCCATAACACGGCCAAAGCCCTGCACTGCACCTCTGGAGACACGGAGGATGAAATGGTACTATGTAGATCTCCCAAACTGAAGAACTCGGAGTGCCCTTGGCTGCGAGCCCCAGAGCTTCGCTGTTAGCTATTTGAGGCCGCTGCAACCCACAGGCGTCTTTGCGAAATCCACAGTGTCAAGGTGTGACAGTGGTCGCAGGAGCTGAGGTCAGCCAGCGCCTCCTTGGCGTGCTTCACCCACATCCTGCAGAGGTGATGAGGAGATGGTAAATCCACAGGAGGCTGGGCAAGGATGAGATCCGACAACCTTAGTCTGTCACCACCCGCCATCTTGTTAGCACTCAGCTTTGACAGCTTGAAGTTGAGACAAAAAGGATCCAGGTAGCTATTAGCTAAACGGTCAAAAGATTTTCTTAACGAAAATGTATGAACAGGTCCAAAATCACCCAAAAAACCCACGTTCTGGACTCATCTTGAAGACTGAGTTGACAAACAGTTCAATGAGCAATCCAGGACCGCAGAGAGAGCTACTCTGATATTTACATGGAAGAAAGCAAGAATATCAAGTGTTGGGCAGGGGCGCCCTCCCCCTCTTATAAGCGCCCCTGCTCCCTGGGCCAAGTACACATTGGTCTGTCAGAGACAGAAGTGGTGGCATTGGAGCTTCTATACAAGGTCACACCTAAAGGCGCTTCCTATTGTGAGATACCGAGTGAGGTTTGAAAGAGAACACATAATGATGTCATAAAATGAAAGCCCTTCATCAGATCTAAACAACCAAAAAAATTGAAGCTCCTATGTTGAATAGTTTTTGAGATAAAAGCATTTTTGTACGTATGTCCAGACACCAGCTTTTTAAATAGCACCCCCCACTTGAAATATGGTGTCTATCAAAAAACCGTTGTGTATTCCTATCAAAGTTCATGGTACTAGGTGTAGCTGTTTCTGTGCTATGGTTGACCAAACATCTCTGAAAAATGAAAAAAGCAGAGGGAGAAAGGAGCAGCTACTGTTTGCTAGCAGACAAACTGGGTTGGCACTCAACAGACAAACAACAGGTAAGGGATGAATTGGAACCAGGAAAGAAGTGTGGCGTGCCGTGTACCTGACAATCCACAGTTCCTCCCAGGCTGTCGGCTGCAGGCGGCTGCAGCAGCTCCCACGTCCCTCCCTTGTCAAAAGTAATGACAGATCGCATGTTGTCCTCACTGACCGAGCCGTTGATGAGCGTGGCAATAAAAACGCCTCGCAGACCCTCCACACGGTGCAGATCTGCAAACGGTTCGTTGGCAAAGAATCTGTAACACAAAGGAGCTACATGATAACTAAAGGGGAAACACTGGAAATGAGTTTTATTTTCACTGGTCAATTTTTAAAGAAAGTTTCTATCCAACAGTTATTAATAGTACCTCATCAGCAGTGATGTTTACAAGTTATTTATTTATTTATTTATTTTACCGTGTCCTGTCCAGCAGTATGAAACTCAAAACTGATGTCTGAGTGTCAAACACATAGTGTATCTGAAACACCAGGTCCCTCATGTACAAAGACTTGTGTGGATTTCTTACTGAAACCTGACGTACGGTCAAATCCAGAAAACAGCGTACGCACAAAAAAATCCAGATGTATCAAACCGTGCGTACACCTGAATCCACGCACATTTCTGTTGTACATCACAATTAACGTGGAACTGAGCACAGGTAAGACTCCTCCCCTGACATGCCTTCATTAACATATGTTAAACAGATGCTAATTACTTCCTGCATGTGTGAAGGACATGTTTGTTTGATCCCTGCGTGATCTGAAATGATTTATAGAGTCAGGAAAATAATGCATTTTATATAAAGGGAGTGAGAAAAAAAATCCTAAGTAAAAATAGGAATAAAATATGTTTATCACGCAAAGAACGAGTGATTGTGTGTCAGTGCATGTGTGCGCGCACGTTGCTGTGCTGCGCAGCCGGCTCATTCATCTGAGTCTGAAAATATTAACTTTGTGCAAGAGTTTATTACTATAATTACTGTAAACACAGAGGAACTTAAATGTTTGGTAGAACATACACTCACCGGCCACTTTATTAGGTACACCACGCTAGTAACGGGTTGGACCCCCTTTTGCCTTCAGAACTGCCTCAATTCTTCGTGGCATAGATT